TGCAGGTGTTTTTCAACCTTTTGCATTTGACTAGATAGTCATTGTATTACTAATTTGGTGCTAAGCACATTATTTATGTAGTCTTCTGTGAGTTTTTTTTTGATCAGAACAAGAATAAAATTTGATATTCGAATTGATATCATTTGTTCTTTTTTTTTGTCTTCAATTGCACGTTTCATTTTCTTACAGAAAACCACTTAAAAACGGAAATTTTTGTGGACTTAGTTTTTTTCAAATGTTGAAATAATTAAAATGAAAACAGGAACAAATATTAGTCGCCATTCTCTTTGAACAAATGATTTTATGTACGACAACTGTCAATACAGCTGATGATTGATGATGAATAAAAATAAGAATTAAATGATTAATTAATGATATTCATTAAAAACATATTGATACCTGTTAACAAACTTGTGTGAGTAAGAAATTTCACAATCGATGCTTTACACTTCGATTTTAACCTCTATTAGCTGATAGGTCGAAATTTAAACTCTCTGATGTACATCGACAAAAGAAATCTTATTGCAATAAAAAGTAAATCTCTTTTGAACAATATTATATGTCAAACCTGAAACTTCAATTCAATTATTGAATATCTAACATTTGAAAAACTGGAATTTAGATATTTAGAAAATAAACTACTTACGGAATAACATACATAAAGCATCTTTTTTGATAAATAATTGAACAGTTGAATATCTTAATATCTAAAAAAGTCATCAACAATTAAATTCAACTTTCAGATTTGACATTATTATATTTTTGGTATGCTTATTAGTACTTTTCTGATATATTTTCAATTTCATTCCAAATATTGTCGTTTGATGTTGAAGAAAAATTGCTATGGAACTCTATCAAATCATATAAATAACTCATGGAATTCAATGTGATAATTCAAAAATAATTCTTCGAGGAACAAAGAAACTATAAACATGTTTTTAGATATGAAACTATCTTTTCTTCAGTATTTTACAACAGAATTAATATCAAACTAATCAAAAACCTGTGAATATTCTAAAGATAAAAATGTTTACAATTGAAACAACATTGATCATATATATAAATATTAAATCTTATTAAAAGATGATACTGGATAATTTCTCAATCGAAAACAAATCAGAGATGAACTTATTAAAACATTTGGTTCATTTATGATTTTATGAAAAAACTATGTTTAATTCTTAATGAAACTGTATATCATTAAATAAAATCTTATTTTAATAATCAATGATTGTTTTTAATATGTTGAAACTTGTCAATAAAACTAAATAAAGACATTATTCAATAAATATTTTTAGTTAAGTAAATACGGGTGTGGACGTGGGTGAGTGTGAGTGTGAACCTAAGTGTCGAGAAAATCTACCCCAACACCCACACCCATATCCACATCCACACTCACCCTAGGCATCGACATGTCTCCATCGTAATCAATTTTGTAAAGTAGAGGTTTATCATGACGTAATGCAAGCGACAAACCAGGTATTTTGACAAGTGTTCGAAACAGTCGTTAAATCAAACTAAGGAGGCGACTGATACTTGAAATGGAATTGATGAATAAGATTACCACTAGTTCGATCTGCTCGTTGTTGATCAACATAAATGATACTCTGTGTAGAGTTGCCGATTGTTTCCATTTGACAAGTGTGTATCATTATAAGTGCGATAACGAAAAGTAGCATCACGAAAGTCTTTATACTTAATATCTGGTTATTTTCAAAAGTTGGTTATAATCATTTGAGTACATCGATTATAAATGATATATTACTTCCTAAATCGCAAATTCTCTTCATTTGGTAATGAAATAGGATTTAGAGCCAACAAGATATCGAGAGAATATTGGAATAAGTTATTTCACTACATTTAACAACATACAATTATTTCATATAGCCATTACCTCATTAATATGTCTTTCAAATTCTAAAAGCCAGTTTTTGACGGATCAATGGGTTGCATATAGATCGATCATATTCAAATTATCGTCAGGAACCATACAGAAGTGTTTGGTTCTCGCCTTCCATTTTGAGGTGGTGGGTGAATGTGAGTGTGCGTGTGGGTATGGATGTGAATATAGATCTTTTCTTCATGTACATCAACACTTACACTCAAATATTTTCTTTTGTTTGAAAGCTTGTGTTCAGGACTAGCGACTCTGGTAGGCTTTTTTTTAAAATAATCTTTTCTATTATCATAAAAGATAACACCTCTATCGGAAGAAAGCACTTTTTAGGGAGGTTTTTTTGAGTCATTGAACTTTCGCTCCGTTTTTTTTCGCGTAAAAAGTAAGACTTTAAAAAAAAGCCCCGAGAATCACTGCATCCTGATCTGCTTTTTCAAACAAAAAACAAATTAAATATGTAGAATGAACGCTCACAGAGAAAACTGGGGTGTGGGTGTGCGTGTGGAGTGGGTGTGGGTATGAGTGAAGGGAAGATTAACACCCACACCCACCCTCTGTGAGACATTTTTCGCACAGTTTATTCATGTATATTAAATCTAGAAGTTCTCATGCATACTCTAAATATATGTTTAAGTTGCTACTTATAAAAAGTGTTTGGCGTAAAAAAAATATGGTTAAATAATGTCATTGATTTTTTTTCTTTCTTTAGAAAGAATAACTATCAGGAATAACAGTAATATTTGTTGTTGTAAATACAATTATCAATGATACAGCTTTGTGTTTTATGTTTGTTGACATTTCTTCAAGACTTTTCTTCTTGTTCGAAAATAAGCATGAGAAATTCACATCGATAGTGATAATACAACAATATTTAATTGTGCGAATGGAAAAAAAGATGAAGGTCGACAACAGAACAATTCGTAGACTGTTTTTCAACAATCATTATCATTTTATTTCTTTCCTACATGTATGATGACAGAGCACTTGAGGTCTAGTCGCAATAAAATGACGACGATCAGACAAGAACGAAAAAATATGGATCTGCCATCAACAATGAAATTTCTATTTTCTTATTCAATTAAAATAATAACAAGCTTCACTGTGTTAAGTATTTCTATCGATAATAAAATTAGTAGGCAAGCTAAAGTTTTTTTTCTCTTCTTTTTATTTATGTATTTCCAGTTTAGTTCTTTATAGATTTTTCTTTTAGGCTCTTTTCCATGAAAATAAAAAGTAAAGAAAACAAACATTTCAAATAATCATAATTATCGACAAAAGTTGGTACAATATTCTTTTTCTAGACTAGAAACTCAACTTATAAGTTTGCAAAAATCACTAAAAAACATTATTATCTTAAGCACCATAGATCATAAATTTTCATAATAAGTATTAAAATTTTTGATGAACATCGAATATGTTATCAAGGTCTTTTTTTATTAAATAGTTCCTAAATATTATTGAGAAAAAGTTTCTGTTTGCTTGAGTCATGAGTTCACCACATGTTTCGAGTCGTATTTTTTCTTCATATAGAATGAAGAAGTGTAATGGTTGAACGAAAAAAAGAGAAAAATACTAAAAATAAAAACGTAAAAATAACTTGAGGTTTAAAGTCTCGTATATCTTGATATAGATAAAAGTGACTTATTTACGATAAAATCGATCCACAGACAAATATGTCACTTTTTATAACTACTATTCTATCAATATTGATATTAAGAGAATAATTTCTACTATTTTAAATTAAAAGAATTCTTTAGTAATCAAATCGTTATCTTATGAATAAAGTAATTGAAGTTATGGATGAATAACTCTGTGTATGTCTTGATGTAGTATCTAGATCGACAGAGATATGAGTTTCCTTCGTTGATCAATATGAGAGAAAAGAACGCCACACTAATGTTCCCTCTGTCTAAATCTTCTTTTTGAACAATTAGTTAGTTACTAGTTGTTCTTGTTTTTTATTCTTTTCTCTGTTCTCATTTTCTCTTAACCACTACTCACTGTCAATCTATTTCTTTTATGTCCTTATTTAATGGCAATTTACGAATCGTATGATATATATTGATGAAAACATTATCCAATGGAATCTTTGATCGTGAAAATCTTTCTCTCCAAGCCTACATACATCCAGATGAAACTTATAGTCCCTTTTCATAGTTAAATTTGGCAGGGTACTTGCTATAGTTTGAACAACGTAACTAGACAAGCGTTGATCATATGTATTGTTGCATAGTTTTGCTATCTTACGATGAAACACGCTAAAGAAATATATAAAAATTCTATAACATCTATTTGAGTAAGAAAAACAAAAGCTATCTATTTCATAACTATATGATATAGATGCAAATCCATGTGATGTCTTTTGTAATTGATTTAATTTCTTTTCTTTATTGGTTGTACTAAATCAAATTGTCATTGTGTAATCGCTATTGATATTTTCTCCTATAAAAAGAACTGGTTAGTGATGATCTCTGGTATGAACAGAATTCTACGTAGGATGTGGATGTGGGTCTTCTCTTCACTCAAAATCACACCATACACCCATATCCCACACTCACCCTTGTTGACGTACTCTATAAACATAAGAAAAGAGCAAAAAACGGTAAAAATAGCTTGACGCGTCCATCTTTGATATAGGAATAGTTACAAGTGTTTATTTTAATATTGAAATATGTTCATATCTCTTTCCAAGAGAAAATAGAAAATGATGTCTATCATTAATTATGTAAATAAACAATTTCTTCTGTTTACAACATTTTTAGTTAAACCCATTTTTTGTTGAGTTCGAAACGTGCTATCAAGTTTTCAATTACAAAAATATTTCAGATCTTTTTATAGAAAAAATATTAGATTGATCGCTACATATTACTTTTTTGTTAACCAAGTTTTCTTTAGTTTTTCTATGGATTGTATTTTTTTAGTACATTAGATTGTGTTATGAGTTACAAAGATTCTTTATTTTCCAACAAAATATCAATGAATCAATTCATCAAATGCCTCGTTTATACTTTACTTTCTTTTTCCTCTCTAAAATATATGAATCCAAAATATATTAATCACCTTTTTTTTTTTTATTTATTTTATTTCAATAATAAGAGAACAATCATAATGTTTTTATATTCGGAAAATAGGCTTTGAAATGTTCAGAATAATCAAATTTCTCAAAAATATGTATATCACTCAATTTAGAACAATTGATTCGCATTTCATTTCGTGTGAAATTATGTGTTGCTTGTCGTAGAACAGAATAATTGACAGAAAATGAGATGTTATTCGATATAAACGTTTTTGTATTATCGAGAAATTGTTCAACATAATCAACGTGAACATATAAAAGTGAAAGTTGAATAAGATAAGGATAATTAGCGATTGAGGAATCTTGATTATCGTCGTTTGATTTTCGACACTGTTTATATTTTTGAGCTGTCCAATTATTTACAGATAATATTTTAAGATATGGAAAAGCTGAAGCAATTCGAATGAAAAATTTATGTTCAAATGGACGTTCATCAAATAATGATATTTCACGAACATATTTAAACAATCCATCTGGAAAATTATTTGTTATGTTTCTGTAATATGTCATTGTATATGGATATGAATACATATGACAGTGACCTTTTTTGTTTTTTGGAAAATAATCAATGCAAGTAATAATTGGTTTATTTATGAAATTTATAAATGTTTGCTGAATTTGTTCTTTTAGTGGTAAACAAGATTCATAAAGAGCATATATAACTGATCGAATATTAAATACAAATTTGTTTAATCGTGATAGATGATTAATAATATTTTTCGTCAAATTATCCCC